CAATAGAAAAACCTCACCTTGGCTATTCAATATATGAAAATTTCAGTGATATGATGAACAATAATGAATATACAGGGTAAATGGCATTGCTCCTTCAATGAAGATGGAAATCTGAATTGATAAAAGAGGTTGATATTTCAGTGTTAGTAGTAAAAAAAATATTGAAGATAGCTCGGGTGAGAATGCTATTATATTCTCACCTTCTTACCCTAGGTGTATAATATATCATGAGATTAGGAATTCCTTTTCAGGCGAATATACTTGTCCTCCTAATCCAATCGAAGCAGATTGAAATCACGGAAAACTCCAATTGCTAACGACTTCCTTATTGGATCCCTGCATGGGTAGTGGCATTATGAGATCCGAACAGTCACTCAATTCGAATTGAGTAAGCCTACTTGAAACGAGGGTCGAAAGATCATTGTTGATGGTGAGCCCGGAAGCCGCGGCAGTGTCGCAGTGAGCACGAGCAGTACGAGCACAGCACTCTTTGCACTTTCACCTCCTGCTGCTATCGAGCATAATATAGTCAGCAGGACCATAAATAATATTGCAACATTGCAATAATGAAAAAATAATTAATGGTAATCGGACGATTTGAAGCAGTAATTGCTTCCTACTATGTATGAGTTTTAAGCTAGTTTTGAGATTGAGATAAAATGAAAAATAATAGAAAATTGAACGAGTCTAATAAAAATAATGTTGAGTTGAATGATTGCAAGATTAATAAAAAAAATTGGATGCTCACAACTTTTCGATTTTTGGATGGATTTCAGAGGTTACACAATTGTATATGTTGTGATTGTGAATCCACCTCGAGATCAACCTTTTTTGGCAACTGTCCTCAATGGTACTTTCATTGAATTCAATATTCCTTCTCATCTCATATAAGGCCTTCTAGACTTTCAGAAGTATATAATTAGCGAGATAATTTGTCACAATGATTGTTAGCAGCCACGAACAAGAATATCCTATATAGATGAAAGCATTTTATATTTATGTCAGTAACAACATAGGTAATTGGAAACAAAATATATGTTGTAGTTACAGTAATCCATTTGAATGAAAATATATTTTTCTCAAATAAAAGATCGAAAATGAGTTGATTCGTTCCGAGATTCGTTCCCTACGTAAGGTAGTTATTAACAGTCAACAGTGACGACGAGGATGGTGAATCTCCTGCAGAAATCTTGATTGGAAGAGAAGTAAAAACTTATTTGAATCTCCTTCTACCTCCACCATCCACGGATCCTGATCTTTTCAACATTAGGAAGATCAATGAGGTACAGGGTGATTCACCATAAATGTCCCTCCTCCCCCTCTAGCTCACTCATTTTTGAACCGAATAAAAAATCAGAAAGTTCATCTATACTGATTTTTCAGATTTCATATACAGTGTGGTTCAAGATTCACAATTCTGATCACCCTGCATCTGTTCCAATTATTAGATGTCAGTAGATAGTGAATCAAAAATTGAGATATACGGACATGAAAGCCGTTTTGACCGTTGATGAATAGTTTCGTCACAGAAAAATCCTAAAGTTGAAAAATCTAGATTTTGAACACCTTATATCTCATCTGTAATCATTTTCGCTAGACCTCAAGTGTGATGCATTGATGAAATCAGCTCTCCAAGGAGAATCTACAAATACAATGAAAAATAAAGAACTCTATTGAAAATCATTCAAGATAATATTTGAAATTTTGCAATCGGTTCAAAGGTTAAAAAATAACTGAGCTAGAGGGAGGGGGACATTTATGGCGAATCACCCTGTACATAGGACATTTCCTATTGAAGAATCAGTTCATTGCAGAACAAACCATAAAAACAAGTTCGAATGGTCACCTGGTAGAATGATCCAGAGAGTTGGAAATGTATTGTACGAAGTGAGTCTGGAAAATTCGTGCCGTATTCAGAAATTGCATATAGATCAGATTCGAAAGAGGTACACAATCTCTTCACAAGCTGAATCTGATAGTCTACCACTTGAAATCCTTCTGGAAGACTTCGAGATACCTGAAACTGCTTCAACCCATTATTTTACGAAGGAGTCATCACATGAATCTTCTGAACTTACAACAGGAATCGGGACAACCTGAACAACTATCAGAAATGTTGAAGTTATTTCGAGGATTTCTATCTTACAGGGGAAGGTGTTAGCAGCCACCAAACATGAACATCCTATATAGAGAAAAGCACTTTATATTTATGTCAGTGAGAACATTGGTAATTGAAAACAAACAAAATATATTTTCCTCAAAAATTTGAAGTCATTTCCACAGATGTTCAAGTATCGACTACAATGGTAGATGACATGAGAAAAACAACTGCATCCTGTGGGGTAATGCAACGCAAAACATTGAGATACATCTTCCCAAAATCTATGCATCGATTCGTATAAACAAACGAATACTGATGTGGGGTTTCAAAATGCCTCGGCCGTTACTTGATGTAACAGTAAATGTTAAACATTTGACGAACGATAATATTTTCACGAAATTCTTAGTCACACGAACAAGTAGGTTCTTCACAGGTGTAAGTAATACTGGTACAATGAACTAAACTTACATTGACACGCCCAACATCTATTTCCCAACCCATAGAATCAAAATCACCTGAGGAAAGGTTTGATAAAACTTCATTTTAGAAAATTAGGCAAAATATCTACATCAGAATACGGTGTACCAGATTAACTTGAAATGGTTGGTATAGCAAATACATATTATTACTTTTATACTAAGAAAACGAATTCAAAAGAGGTGAATTATTAATTGATGTCTACATAGTTGATCATTATTCAAAATGTTGAAATAATTGCGTTAGTTAATTCCTAATGATTCAAAATAATTGAGTTTCATTTATCCGTATAAAATAAAGGAATAAACCTCAATCAACCATTAGTAATTCTTAGGAATCACCATACGCAAAAATTCAAACATTTTATTTTACGATCAACTAGACATAAATAATTCACCGCTGTTGAATGTGTTTTCAGAGTTGGTAATGATATGTATTTGCTTACAATCTTCACTTATCTTCACTTGACTTGTTTTTAGTGATATACCAACCTAGCACCAAGGTGTATCTGGGTTTCAAATGACTGGAATATTGGTGCACAAGAGAATGAAAATAATATAAGAAGCGAAGGCAATGGATGACTGATAACTGATATCACCCAAAAGTTAATAGTAGAGGTGCAAATGCTTCAGAATGATCCTTCTATATTTGGTTCATTGAAGAAACTTTGAATTGAATCCATCAGTATCATTGGAAAACTTCCGCATGAATTGATCCCAATATGATTCCTCTATATATCATTTGATTACTGATTGTCAGTGTATCCCATTGTCTACAAGAAAATCAACCGAGATAAAAATCTTACGTTCCTTATATAATATCTTCACACACTGCTTGATATATTCATGAGCTCATGAGCTTGAATAAACAATGAAGCAACATAAATAAAAAATATTAACAGGCAGGTACACATCAATTCTGCGATTGCCACATCTAATCCCAAATTCACAAAGAACAAAGCAATATGGCGGTTTTTATGATTCCTGCAGCATATTCGTGGATATGTTGATAGATATTTACATTTGATGTATTTCATTTTACACGATGTATTTAATAACTTTGAGCACTCGTGCAATTCTCACTAACTCTCAAGGTTTTGGATTGGGCAATTATGATTCCCATGTGATATTTTCAACAATCTTCATTATAGAATTAAAATATGTGGGCACTTTACGTATTGCTGCTCCAAAAAATGATATAGTTTAGTAAACATGAACAAACAGAACGATACCTATCCTAGAACAACATTTTTCTTTCTTACTATTAAGTTGATTCAAACTTAACAGGTAGTTTGGAGAAAGTTTAAATCATATTCTGGGTAGTGCAATGCATCAAGAAGTAGTACCTATATTGTTCCAATCTGACTATAATTTCAACATTTTTATTTTGAAACATAATTCATCTGTTCCATATTCAAGAAATGAGCAAGGGGAATATAAGAAAACAAGTTATTGGCGATAGGTACCTGTAAGTTGGATACATAAAAAGTATTATAAGGAGAAGTGTGTACCAGTATAGCATAAGAATATACACTCAGCAGTTCACATCATTTGGGAAAGCACAGTTTTTGCTATGCACTGAGAAAAAATGGAGAATGAAATGTTACTCGAAGTCCACTCAATGATATGTCAATTTTGGTCCATGCCTGATTGGGTTGAAATACTTAACTGAGTGAAATGGTGATTAGCTGATTCATGAGCTAATTTAATCAGATGATGAACATGAAAAAATTGTGGAAACATCCAATTTGAGTAGTGGATTCACTCAAAAATTCACTCAGTAGATAAGCTCACAACCGATTATATAAAGACAATCGAAATGATCATTCTAAGTATAACCTATCAGTGAAAGTGGATATAATTCAGAGAAATACACAAGATAATAGTTGAATATAAGCAGGTGAATATAAAATTGTGATCAATCCTAATACGTTCACCTGAAATATTTTTTCCCGGTAGGGATATCAGGATATGTAATTCTATTGATGAGTCAAGTACTTCTATGAAATTTCCGGAGTATAATCTTCTGAGGAACCATGGTTCCTCCATGAAGAATTCTCCTTGTTTCAAGGCGGAAACCATCAATGTGAGCAGATCATTCCTACAGCATTGGATTTACAGTCCAAAAGTACTAGACTGCTGCAAATTTCCACCGTCATCTAATAACGAAATGATATTTGTCCCAAAGGCATTCGAAAACTTTGAATTGTATCAAACGGTACCTGTGCCAATCACCATCTTGAGTAAAATGATTGGAAAATGGCACTTTCCTGTGCGGTAATTGGCACAGGTGCCGTTCGATAAAATACAATGTATTTACATGCCTTTGGAACATACAACATTCCGTTATCAGATGACGGTCGAAATTTGAATTTGCAGCAAGCACTCCTACTATATCTTCATGGCAGATATTGAATACTCACAGTTGTTATCAAGAGCGATCTTTCTCGAAACCCCAAAGTCTCACCGTCGACTCCACCGTCTTCCTCTTCTTGCAGTTTCTGCAAGACAGGCGAGGTGGCTACTGGTGCAGTCATAAGGTCTTCTTCCTTCTCGTTCCTTCCTTCCTCATCTTCTCTTTGGTATTCATTGTCGTCGCACTGGTCGTTACTACCCGGTGGACCCCGCACTTCCACTATATTCGCGACTTGAAGCGAACAATCATCGATATCCGTATGAACTGTCGCGTTTTCAAACACATCTTCGAGTTCTTTGACTTCGCACTCATTCAGATTTTCTTCGATTTGGTTCTCAAGGTACCACGATGACGTTTCGTTTTTTTCACTGCAGTTGGATGATACGTCTAAGCTGGCAGATTTACTGGTGCCTAGGGCGCTTTTACACTTTTTCAGGTAGTTTTTGACGCGCTTGGTTTTGCTTTGGCGACACTCTGTGGGGCAAGAAGGGTCTTTGGTTGATTCTCCTGAAGAAGGTTTCCAAGACTCATCTGTGTAGCTGATGGGTCTACCCGAAGTGGGGGTAACCTGAAATGAAGAAAATATGTAATTCTGAGATTCAAATGAACTGTTGTTGATATGATTGTTAATCATTGAGAGAACTTATGGAGACCTGCTGATTGTTCTGATTTATTTATCATCCTGCATTCCAAAATCTGGATAATGAGTTTCACTATCAAGTTTTCAGAAAGGTAATAGCTCATTCCTATAGGTATTCTTGTAGTTTCTCTCCTCGTTTCTACAGGTAGAAGTATGAGTTGCATTCGTGTATTTGAGTAGTATAGGTAAGGAAAAATGGATTTTGCTTCAAAAAGGTACTACGTTTGAAATTTTTATTTCAATGAAGAATCAGAATTTACTTAAGGAATCTACTTGAAGAATTCCATATAGACAATATGGATTATACTTCAGTTATAAACGTAAGCTTGCTGAGAATGCATTTCAATTTTCTCTGTTTCTCCAATAATAACGGAAACTTACTGAAAATTCACTTATTTTGATATTCAACAGAGAAAGTATAAATAATTACAAGAAGTTTTAACCCTGTGAATGATCCATTTTTCCCTATTCAACCAACCCCATCTTGGTCATAATACAGTTATTTTCAACAAAACAATTCGAATGATCATGTATCTAAAGTTACAATATTCGATATTTGAGTAAAAGAACATATCTGATCTTAGGAACATATCCTGAAATCCAGACATCGATGGATATATTTTTCAAATCCCATGAACATCCATTAATTGAATACCTTTTATATTAGGAAAAATATATATTTCGTTCATAAATAAACTAGAAACAGCTTTTCATATAGAGATTATACCTGAAAACATGGTGTTCAATCTCGACAACTCATTTGTAATTCAAAATAGTGTTATATCTAACAACTGACATGAAAGAGATGCAATGGCTAGAACGATAAGCGATCCTTCTTTGGAGATCTTTGACTTGCTGAAGTATGATACTCTATTGTTCACTCTCATGTTAATTCAAGAAGCTGTATACACACCACATCGATTTCTAACGTTTCTATTAGTAGGCCGTGGGATCCCACTCTGTTCCGGATTACCAAAAAGAATTATTCGGTTAATGGCTGGACACGTTATACAATTGTTAGCGAGAGTAAAACAATACGTTATATAGATGTCAAGATAGTAAGAAAGCCATATCAAATCCATATTTTAAATTGAGGTGTGTAATCTACGTAGTACAGTGGGCGCACATTGAATTAATTTTTCAACACAGTAATTTGGAATGTCTCAAAGAGGCATGAAAAACAATGTGTTAGATAGATGTCATGATTGCAAGTAATCTGTAACGTCTATATCACTATCAGAAATGGGTTGTCCCATTCAACAAATTCCTCAATTGTTGGAAACATCTTCATGTTTCTTCAACTACTCAGCCTCCAACCTCCTAACCTTTCATGGGGTAATATTTTTTCTAAAGTATTTTGTTTTTCAAGAAAATGAATACTTGGATAAGATTCAAATTATATCAAAAAGGGGCCTTTGGGCTATCTGCTTCCACACCGCGACCTCTTCAGATCTATTGTATCTGCCCTCAAAATCGTCAAGAGTTCTTTGGCTAATCCCTTCTATGTGAAGCTCCATAGGCTACCTTTTAGATATCCTTTGTATCTTTGGGCTCCCGGTTTTTTCCTCTCCCAGCGTAAGGAACCTTAAACTTGACAAGCTCTCACAATGTACTGCTGTTTCCTCCTCTTCCTGACAGAACCTGCACTGCCAGGCCTATGGTACTCATATGTTTGTAGATCCCACAATGCCCTGTGAGAAGACCCACTAGTATTCTAGTTGAACTCCGTTTCTGACTTACTTGATGTTCTGTGAATATTGGCGATGATATCTTTAATAAACTCCTTTGTCGGTCTTATTCCTGGCGGGTTGTTCCACCATTCTTGAGATTTGGTTTGCATCCATGATTTAATGCTTGTCTTCCGTATAGATTTCGCAATGCCACAAAAGGGCTCTGGGCCATTCAGAGCTTTACTAGCTCATGCTCGGGCTAGTGAATCTGCCTCTTCGTTGCCCTCCTACCCTGTGTGTGCTGGTAACGATGCTAAAGTCAGTCCGTTCTGACTGTCCAATTCATTCAGGGTGTTTAGGCTGTACCAGGCTATAGTTTTCAGTTAACATGCATTGAGTTTACTGTTATACTTATATCAAGAGTTTTTTCAAAGCTATATTTTCGAATTATGCCATCTGTTGGCATTCCCATGATGTGGTCGCTTCCCAACTCTTCATATAGCTCTTCTACAACTTAAATACTTAGTTTCTGTCGACAAAAATTGCATTGAAATGTCTGAATGGCATTGTTGACAGATTCCTCAATTTGAAAAATATTTCGAGTTAGGATCAGAAACTTTTCTCAATCATTTTCGGGAAATATTCGTGTATAAAGAGGAATTCCGTTTTGGAGTTTATCGATATTTCAAAGGCAGTATGATGTTTGCAGAATAGTGTTGCTGATATTATTCAAATTATTTTTCTTCTATTCACAGAACAAGTTCTATATATTTTTTTTTCAAGAAGATTGAAGGATAGAAGGCAAGAAACCGTTATTGGAAGAGTCAAGAGATCTAACATCTGATAAGACACTAAGAGTTTTTTCGAGATATAAGATACTTTAGATTAAAGGATAATGAAAACATCATCTTTTCCTCGCGTCAATTGAAAATATGCATAATCAAATACACTTTTTATGAAGAGACCGTATACTACCTTTTTTCATATCTGACATAGTATACGCACCCCACCCACTTGACTTCATATTTTTTCAATGTTTTTTGAAAGTCCTCTGATCTGACAGAAGACTTGGAATATAGGATATGGTCATTTGATACAGAAAAGTTTATGTGAACATATGTCCTAAACCTTTCGTGTTCTCATCATAAATTCAATCTCGACTTCAATACTGTTTTTGATATTCCCATGAAATTTGACGTGCACGTACTAATTAGATATAGGCCTTTTTTGACGCACGAGATTATTTTATATGCTCACCAGTGGCGTCCGTATATAGGAAGTACATTTGAGAGTTTTTTCGAATATTTTACGCTCTTGCTCTCTCCGAAAATGAAAATTATCTTCCCAACAATTTGACTTCTAGAATGTTTCCGTCTAACGCACCGTTTTCGATAAAATAATCAAAACCATTTCCATCTATTTGTGGTATAACATACTTTTTTTGCACTAGTAGGCTTTCGCTATGTTGAGTATTGAAAAGAATGACATTTTATCGATCACGTTGCGGTCATATTCATCAACGTGACAGTTTTCCACATTGTGAAAGTTTCTTCAGTCGAGATTTCTTTCTTGAAATTATAAAACCCCATAGCTCGAAAGTTGAGAGTTTTAGGGCATTATGTTCATATTCACTTTTTTGTTGCTAGAGAGTTTTTTCGAATATTTTACTCTCTTGCTCTCTCCGAAAATGAAAATTATCTTCCCAACAATTTGACTTCTAGAATGTTTCCGTCTAACGCACCGTTTTCGATAAAATAATCAAAACCATTTCCATCTATTTGTGGTATAACATACTATTTTTGCACTTGTAGGCTTTCGCTATGTTTAGTATTGAAAAGAATGACATTTGATCGATCACGTTGCGGTCATATTCATCAACGTGACAGTTTTCCACATTGTGAAAGTTTCTTCAGTCGATACTTCTTTCTTAAAATTTTGAAACCCCATAGCTCGAAAGTTAAGAGTTTTAGGGCATTATGTTTATATTCACTTTTTTTTGGGGCTTCTTGGGTTTTGGATTCGTTTGTAAAATTAAAAATTGAAGGAATTCATGAAAACGTTTCGCCCATGGCCATGGGCTTTGTCAATTTATTATAAGGACATGATGTTGAACAGTGGAGTCTAGCTCAACCAAGTAGTAGAAGTATGTAGAATCAATTTGTACTATTTTTTCTTTTTCAGTTTCATTGTTAAAGAAATTTGGATGTTTCGTTGATAAGGCCTACGAAAAGCGAGGTAAAACGAAAATGACAAAGCCCATGGCCATGGGCGAAACGGTTTCATAAATTCCTTCAATTTTTAATTCTACAAACGAATCCAAAACCCAAGAAGCCCCCAAAATAATAAGATAAGCAGGATTCAAGAACTCCCCTCTCCAAAGTAATTCACTTTTTTGTTTCTAGAGAGTTTTTTCGAATATTTTACGCTTTTGCTCTCTCCGAGAATGAAAATTATCTTCCCAACAATTCGACTTCTAGAATGTTTCCGTCTAACCAGGGCATACTGTAGGTGAGATAGAGTAGGCCCTGGTCTAACGTACCGTTTTCGATAAAATAATCAAAACCATTTCCATCTATTTGTGGTATAACATACTTTTTTTGCACTAGTAGGCTTTCGCCATGTTTAGTATTGAAAAGAATGACATTTGATCGATCACGTTGCGGTCATATTCATCAACGTGACAGTTTTCCACATTGTGAAAGTTTCTTCAGTCGATACTTCTCTCATGAAATTTTTAAACCCTATAGCTCGAAAGTTAAGAGTTTTAGGGCATTATGTTCATATTCACTTTTTTGTTTCTAGAATGAGCTGATGGACCATATCCTATATTTTTAGCCCTCAATTAATTTACTCCCTGTATAAAGTTAATTTCGACTCTTAACGTAGAAATATGATAATCATTATTGTCAGGGAACTAACTATTTATTAATGAAGTTATAGAATGAGACGCTAATTGTGATGCATGTATTTGAAATATCTTAGGAAATCAAAGAAGTAACTGCTATATCTCTGTCAAGCTATAGCTTTAGCTGCACCAGATGGCACTTTTTCTCAATGCTTCTGGGCATAAATAATAACGGAATACAATTTATTTCTGCTAACGGGCGATTTCTGCTAGCATTTTCCAATGATTTTCACCTTTCGCTCTTATTATAATATTAATTGTATAATCTCTTTCCCAAGGGCATTCATATGCATCGCCATCAAGAAGATTACACAAGAAAGTCTGCATAATATCATACACGAACATTACTTCAA